GTTTTAAATGTTCATCATAGACTTGCTTCACGTCCGGCAGTGAAGCAATTAAACTAAAGTCCGAGGTCAGAGCGATTTTCTCCAAAGGCTGGAACTTGTCCAACAAATCGGTTGGCGGTTCTGAGCCTTCAGCTTGCAAAGCATCAATTTCACGCTTCAATGCCTGGTACTGTTGCAGGGAATAGACATGAAAGTGTGCTTCGCGAATCTGTTGAAACTCACGTGACCTGTCGTGTTGGGGTACTACAGCAAGGGGACTACTTACGCCTGGAACACCGCCAACATAGCTAAATTGTCTGACACCGTAGAGCGGTTCAGGATAACTGTACGGCACTAAACGTTCAACGCCATGACTGTCCAGGTAGCGCACATAGCCCTGCACCACAGAACTTTGAACCGGGAATTCGCCACGAGCCGGAACATAGCCCACCAATCCCGACTTGTAGGGATAACCGATGGCCAGTGAGTGGACACTGCCCACCGCCAACAGACTTAAGAGAAACAATCTCATGATGCTGATTAGTTCGATTAGTTTTTCTTTATATTTCCACGAAGAACTTCTAAACAACTGCGTCGTTCATCCGAATAGCTTCGATTGCTTGGTTGACTGATGCCTCGTAAGAAGTTCCAACGAAAACTGTGATGAACTCAGCCACTGCTCGCACTATTTATAGTGGCATCCTTGGCAGGAAATCCTGTCAAGCATTCCGTTATACCAGTTACATGGCAAGAAGCCAGAACCATTCTCATTACAACCAGATTCAAAATGATCGACCTTGATCTCCGGCTGCCGTTATCACTCGAAAAGGCTGAAAATGTGCGCAGGTGTGTGTTTTGTCCCCACAACCTTAGCAAAAAACAAAACTGGTCATTCGGGACAAGACGACATCCATAAATAGCCATAACGTTTTTAACCATTTAACTGTTTCTCTTTCTGTTTCATCCTTGCTGTGTACTTTTGTAAGTATCACACCAAGCAAGGCGGAGGAGGGAAGGAAGAGTCACATTTGTTCCAATTGACAGGTCAAATATGTATGTTGCATGCCATCCGGTCATTGGACTCTGGTCTGTTCATCCAATGCCATCACAAAGTGCCAGGAGAATATGCCACATGACAAGGCATTGATTTAAAAATAGCCAACGCAATCTCCGTGGAGAAGTTTTTTGTGGCATGTAACGGATTCCAATCGTTGTTGTGTACATATTTTAGGGTTGTTAGTTATTAAAACTATATTCGAAATATAAAAATAATTTTGTAGAAGCAAAGGTGTAAAGGGACAGACCATTACAAACATTACTTAGGCCATATACATGAGGTTAACGTGAAGTCTAGCCATTTTAAGAAAGACTTGGACACCAAAGTCTTTTAGAACGACTCCGACACCAGTATCGTATTTATTTATACAGACTGAAGTCATTAGGCCTGTAAACCTGTAAATATATACAATATAGGAAATGTTTTACGTTTTAGTAACAAATCCTGAATCTTAAAATAAGATAGCTCAAGAGGATATGCTTTGCTCATTGATAATTCAAAACTACATATTGCAAAACGTGGACTGTCATTCAAACGTTTTCACAGGGTTATTTTTTTATACAATGAAAACACATAATACCATGGCAGTTCAGTTCTCCGTTGGTGTTAAAATTTTCGATCGTCGAAAATCTGTATCAATATATGAGATCGAGTTCACTGTTATGCAAAATTTCCCGCAAGGTGGGATTATATGCTTTGAGAACCGTACTTAAAATTTTAGAGCAAAATTTCAAAGCTTCAAATATATTAATCTAAAGCTTCGGCAATGAAAAACCTTGTTGCATATTAAGACTGTTTTAATCTCTTCCGCAAGATTAAGAAATTAACTTGCCAATAGATTGTAAATCTTTATCTCCAAGGGGGTTCAAGGCGCTTGGCTTATGTTGCAAAGAAAACCAGCAAGGAAACCGATGTCCGTACACCTGTTAAAATCGCTCTAGTTTCCTAACTAAAGTGAAGTATATTCACTAAATTTTACTAGCATTTATTCTAGCTAAGTATTTGGGAATAACCAACCGTAGACATTTTGCATGTTTGCCCAGATTTGCCACCCGAATTCGCTGTAAATCGGCAGTTTATGTTTGATGTGGGTAGAAAATTTCCAAGTTGTGGCAAAGAGTCTATATAACGGTACCTCCCTATATTGGATGTTTTGATGGTTTAAGCAACATTTTAGAACGGAATTGTTAGAAATTGTGTAATATTCGTCCAAATAGGATGTATTTCTGCACAGCCGACCTAATTCAGCCTAGAAACAAGTACTTTAAAGTCCATCACATGCGTAATATACACTCCACAAGAATGATATTGGTTCCAGATAACTTATGGAGCTCAAAAATACCTCTGTCAACTGTTATAGAGATCGGATCAGATTTGGATATAGGTCCCATATATATCTTTATCCGATTTCAGGTTTATTGTGCAACAAATAACTAATATCAGTCCAAATGGACTGAAATTTAGTACCACCGACGAAATTCAGTCTGGAAGAAAGTAGTTCAAAGTTTGGTGAAAATCAATTCAGATATAGTTATAGCTCCCATATATACAGGGTGAGATGAAAAAAAATTGCAACAAAGTCTAACGCCACCATTTTAACATTTTTTTTTTTAATTTTATTGAATGGAATCAAAAAATGACGGAAATAGCATCAAATTCTAGAATAAGTTTAGATTTGTTAGAATTGGCCACCTTTGGCACTAATTATGGCCTTCAAACGGCCAATGAAACCGTCACATGCTGCCCAAATGTTGCTCTGCGGTATTTTGGCCAAATCCCGGCGAAGCGCTTGCTTGAGGTGATCGACACTTTGGTACTTTTTTGGTGCAACCTCTCTAGACACAACAGTCCAACAGATTGGTAGCCAGAGATTTTGGTGGTTTCGGTGAAGTCGCTTCTTTACTTTTCGAACCATTTCTGCTGATGTTGCTGTTTTCTTCCGCACACTTCCTTGACGTCGGGCTACGCTAACAGTTTCACGGTAACGAGCGATGGTACGAGACACAAAAGATTTATTCGCATTTAAATGCTGGAGTGCTCTAACGATAGCCACTTGTGGTTTTCCAGCCAAATATAAAGAAATCACACTAACACGCTAAAATTCCACACTTTTTCACGGATTTTTCCGAAAATTTGTATTTGTAGGTCATAATGTGTCCTAGTTCGTGCGGCGAAACATTGTATGTATAGGTCCACGATTTTATATAGCCCCCATATAACGGTTCCTCCGATATTCGGTATTTTGATGATTTTTGCCACATTTTTTTTATGGATTTGTCTAAAAATTGGTATTTGTGGGTCATTGGTTCTAGTGTTTCCATCACTCTATGCTGGAGAATATTAAAAATTCGGCCCGGCCGAACTTAATGTTTTTTTACTTGTTTCATCTCACCCTGTATATGTTTCACCCGATTTGGTGTTAAGGTCTCTCACATGCGTAATATGCTCTCCACAACAATGATATTTGATACCGGACATCATATAGAGCTCGAAAATACTTCTGCCAATTTTTATCGAGATCGGTTCAGATTTCTATATAGCTTTGATACACATCTTCCTCCTATTTTACGGTTATTTTTCACCATATATGTAATATCAGCCCAAATTGGATCGATTTTTTCCTATTCAACCAACTTGTTCCATTTGGTGAAACTCGGTCCGGTACTCCAACAAATATTTTTCAATCTAATTCTTATCGAAGTCATATCATTCAATGTACAGCAATCTTATTTGAAAAGCCATGATACGCGTTCAAATAAGGTTCATATTTGGTACGATCTACCTCAAATAAATTACCAATATAAACATTTTGTTTGCAGAAAATTGTTTGAAATCCGGTAATATCAAAGTGACTGGCATATTCCTCACGAATTCCATTTAAGCGATATAGCTCCCAAAAGAAAAAGTTGAAAGTTATCAAATCACAAGGTCCCTGTTGCCAACTGTAACCACCTACACGTTATCAAACATCATGCAACTCAAACCATAAAAAAACATTATTTGAGCTCAGATAAATTAGCTTTTCTTTGGTCCACTGACGTTATAATGTCGTTTTTCCTCTTGATTCTGTCGGGTATGAGAATATTCTTTAATTCAGGAGATATTAACGGTTCCCTGCCTAATTTTTAGGTTGCTCCATTTTGTAGCGCATACAAAATTTTTACATTTTTTTAAGACTGTGCTAACCTTTTTTACCGTGTAAAATTTAAAACATTACACGAACCAGGGCAATAGGCTTTCTATTTCGAATCATGAATTTCGATTAATATATATCGTTGACCTATATTTACTATTTTCAGAGAATAAAATACTCCGTGCAAGTTTTATATGCAAAACATAGGATTCGATTATTATATATGAACTTTTTAGTAAAAAATTAAATACAAAATTTACAAAAAAAAAACAATTTTGAAAAAAAATCTAACCATGGACACAGAATAACTTTTTTGCAAACATAAGATAGAAAGAGACTTCTAAGGTCCCATAAGATCGGCAAGGATTTCTAAGTACATGTTAGGAGTAAATTCAAGTAAAATCAACAAGATTTGCAAGTACCATGTGAAAGTGTGAAGCATTCGCCAGGCGTCTCATGTTCGTATTTATAAGTCATCTTCTATTGTTATAAAATTTAATTCCTCTACATTCCTAAGTGTATTCGAATTCCCACTGTTCCCAATAACGTGAATTTATTCAACAAATAAAACCTATAATATAACATTTATATGGGCGTGCATACCGATCTGTGAAATGTTGTATAAAAATAAACATCCTTTATGGTTATGTCGCCTCGTCTTCAATGTTTTCTGGTTGTCTGTCTCAAGGTCGTTCGTCGATGCTTTAAATTTCCATTAGCATTATTGTTGTTGCTGTCATTGTTCTTAGCTCCCTTGTCTTGATATCATAAATAATTGAATAACAATAAAACGTGGACGAAAACGTGTTTTTTTTGGGAGCATTCGTAACGATGCCTACCAACAGCAGCAGCAGCAGCAATACTGGTCTCCAACGTCGAACATTTACCGGGGGTACAGTTACAATGGCGTAACTGAGTAGCAACATCATTTTTATGGTATTTCTTTCGGATTGGATTACCACCAACACATTTCGATATCCTTTTCAAGTTTGCAGGTAAAAATGAATATTGTGTTAATGGATGAGAAAAGAAGACTTATTGCTAGTTTCAGTGTTCGTGTTAATCGTTTTAATTCGGGGTTTACATCAATATGATTTATATATAGGTACTACAATATGTTTCTTTGTTATGACCTTATACATAACATCGAATCTTGGCAGAATAGCTAAAAACATTAAAATAAAATATGTTGCAGATGAAATGTGTATTCTGTGTGATCAACGTGTGAAATATACGTCACACATTTTGTTGGAACGGAAATGTTGCCAGAAAGTCTCCACAGCTTCCTATAGGTTGTTTTGAGCCAATATTTTCACAATTTGTCGTAACAAATAGTGAGGTTCCTTTGTCATGCTGCTCTTTTGCCGATTCCTTGCCACAAAAGCTCGCGGAGAGGTTGGTTTCAAACTCTGGTTCCTCACTTTTATTCAAAACAAAAAAAGACGATTTACTCGAGCTTTGACCTTGCCTCAAATTCGAACTGATGCCCCAGAAATGTTGTTGGCTTAATTAGTGAGTTGACTATTGAGTTTGCGGAGAATATAAATATATCTTTCTTTTCCAACTTTGAATTTCGTTCTTCCTTATAATCTGTATGCACAAACAAATTGTTTTGGATAATTGATAACATAAAATGTTGGTCATTGCCTCGTCCCTTCCAACCTCTTTGTGCCGGCCTTTTAAATAGACTGATCGCCAACGGATATCTTGCTTGATGCACTTACCGAGGCCAGTCGATCCGCAAACGCTTGGTCACACCAAGACTCCCCGCCGACATTGGGTTATTTAGGCCCTAGGCCTCTTTGGACCAAATCTGTTTACGGAAATTTGGAGTCGATTTAGTCTGCTGTCTACCTAGCGCACTATAATTCTCGAAAGGAGTATCCGATTTGGTCCAAATTTGGTGTATCGTAATGTTATTATCAAACTTGGATTGAGTTCGGATATGGGGAAAATCGGCCCACTTCTTCTGGTACCTCTCCCACAAAAGGTAAAAATTGTCAAGAAAATAATTTACCTCACAAAACAAGAAAGTTCAACTCTAGGTCTGGTATGAAGATGGGATTGGTCGGACCACTCCACAACTTATGAAACATGAAATAATTATCCAATCCAAATTTCACAAATCTGAATATTTTTTCCAACAAAAGATCTGCTATCTCCCCCACAAATGGTCAAACTTTGGAACATTTATAACTGTTATAAGATGTGAAAAATGAGTAAGAGGGTCTTCAAATTTCGCACATCTTAATATTTTCAAAATCTGGTATAAAAAGCCAATAGAATGGACCATTCCCCCGCAACTTGTAAAAATTTTGAATAAAACAAGCATCAACGCATGTTAACGAACGATCTGATGTGGAGATGGGATATATCGCACATATTGATTAACAATTACAAGCATAAAAAATCTTCTTCAGAAGTACCCCCATAAAGGGTCAACAGTTTGAATAATCATAACGCAAATCACAATATGTTGAATTAAACGGATAGTGTACAACTGAAATCTTTTTAAAATCTCTAGCATCGATTGCTCTACTTGGTCTTATTTTTAGAAAAAAAAAATGTTCTAAATTAAACTCAATTAAATGTTAATAAATCAATACAAAATAAAGCAACTCCGGCTTCAATGATCAATAACAGGTTATTAAACTCAGATTTCCAATTCTACGCCCTTTGTTACACAATATGTACATATGTACGAATGTGTGTATGAACAAAGCAAACAACCGCGAATAACATTATCATGTCAATCAGATACGTCATAAAATCTAAATCGATCGTATTTTTTATTTAGACCAAATTCGAATCAATTTCTAGGTAACACGGACTTAGCCTGTTTTATTTATTTCTTCGTTTCATTTTTTGAGCCATTCATTGTTTGTTTGGCGATTCCCAAACAAAATTTACCGATCGCGGGCATTTTGCAAATATTTCGTAAAAAAATAAATAAATGCCATGTCATGCTGAAAGCAAAAAAATAAAATAAAATTCCCCCAAAAATGCGGACATTTAGTTTGGACAATCATCTGCGCCGGGTACCAACAACAACGACAACAACAGCAGCAGCATTTGTGCAAACAAGAACAAGTAGCGTTTCGTCCATTGCTATCGATTTAACTTGACTTCTTGGCAGTTTTTCCGTTTACGTCAATTTAAGCCAGGTTTTGGTGTTCAAAACTTGTTTTCATTGTTGACCCTCTGCTGTTGGCTACTTAGGCACGGATGGTATGGTATGGCTATTTTGATTGGCCGGCTAGTGAACTGATGCCAAGTGAGTTTATTTATTACCATTGGGTTTTACCACATTCTTCTTGGCTTAATAGTGTGACCAACAAAAATTCCAATACACACACATACATACAAACAATCACGAAGGAGAATATTCTGTTGAAGTGACAACCTTTATGGTTTCGATCGATGGATCGCTCTGTTTGTTTGTTTGCTTGTCCTTTGTTTAATGCAATGTGTATCGCAAAATTTATTCTTTGTCTGCCGTTTTTTTTTTGTTTTTGCTTTTCGTTGTTTATGTTATTTTGGAAGCTTTATTTTAAGCCTGCCCCAATGCTACCTACTACTTTATAAACCGACTTTGTTGAGGTTTTGATATGTTGATATGTTTTGAGATATATTTTAAAAATAAAACTGAATTCCATAAAAAAGATTCACCTTATACTGGAAAGAAAAAAGGCCAAGGGAAGGAAAATATGCGGCTTTATTCACTAACGACATTGGAGATCGTTTTCAAAAATTTAACCTTTTTGTCATGGAAAATCTTTAATTCCACGATTAGAAAGTATCAGTCGGTTCGCTGACAAACCCATACCTGGAAACGTTTGGATTCTATTTGTGCTCATTACGATATATACATAACAAAATAATGTATTACCAATGAAGTAACTATTAGGCTATATTCCAGTGCCTGTGTTTATACCCTACAGGGTTTTATGTCTTTCTGTATTTGTTTGTAATATGCAGAAGGCAACAAAATATACCCCTAGTTCCACAACAATGATACTCGGTGCCAGATATCTCATAGAGCTCAGAAATACTTATGTTAAATTCGGTTCAGATTTGGATATAGCTCCCATACAAATCCATATTCCACGTGGAGTGGATTTTTGCACATACAAATTCAGCATTCCGTCTAGAAGCAAGTACTTAAAAATTTGTGGAAATCCCTTAATACAGGGTGAGATGAAAAAACTGCAATCAACTTCATACTGCTGTCATTTCTAAGCCACTCGTCCGACAGCAATTAAACTTATTCCAGTGACAGCTCTTTATATTGTTTACAAGCGTACATAAGCATTTTGGTGAGAATTTTCCAGAAAGAAAGTTATTCGTAATGGAATTGTGTCCCGTACCATCGCTAGTTACCGTGATACTGGTAGCGTATCGTAGAAGTGGACGGAAGAAAACAGCAATATCAGCAGAAATGGTTCGAAAAGTTAAGAAGCGACTCGATCGAAACTCTAGTTAGCTGAACGTATCACAATATTCCATTTGGCAAATATTAAAAAATGAGCTCGGAGTAAAGCCATTGAAATTCCAAAAAGTGCAAGAACTTACACCGCAACAGAAAGAAAATAGGCTCAAAAGAGCTAAAGAGTTGCTTCGCTTGGCCCAGAGTGGTGAACTGTCGAATTTAGCTTTCTCCGATGAGAAAACATTCGTTGTCCCGCAGTTTGTAAACAAACAAAATGATCGTGTTTACTTGCCAAAGAGGTCAGCTGAAAATGTGCACCGTCGGTTGGCCACCAGAACTCAAGCGCAGGCCATGGTGATGGTGTGGGCCGATGTTGTGGGTCGCTCTCTGCTCGTATTAATCGACCGTGGCATCAGAATAAATGCCGAATATTATCGCGAAAATATTCTGGAGGGTGTATTAAAGCCTTGGGCAAGCAAACATTTTGGCCGCAGACCTTGGACATTCCAACAGGATTCAGAACCATCGCAGTCAGCAAGCGCCACCCAAGATTAGTTACAAAATGAGGTTTCTCGTTTCCTTTCCAGCTCACAATGGCCACCAACATCTCCGGATACCAATCCGTTGGACTATTGTGTCTGGAGTATTTTGGAAAGCAAGGTTGGCACTAATAATACCAAAGTGTCCAAAATACCACAGAGCATCATTAGGGCAGCGTGTGTCGGTTTCATAGGCCATAATTCGTGCCAAAGGTCGTGCCAATTCGAACAAATCTAAACGTATTCTAAAATTTGATGATATTTTCTTTCTTACGTCCGAAATTTTTCAAAACGGTCAATTTCCCCTTGGGGATTATGTTCGTTTTGGAAACAGAATTAATCCGCATAATTGCAATGGAAATTATGGCCGGGCACCTGGTATAAATTCGGGGTCTAATCAAAGAATCGTGCCACTGTTCTCCTGAACATCGAGCCCAACTGGAACAATTCCAGATATACATCCATTACTTCCAGTCAAAGACCACATGTACTGCACATAGGTACGACAAACGGAGCGAAAACTTAGTCTAGTGTTGGTCGAGATTCCGGTTCAGACCAAATGAATTTGTTAATTGTATTCCCTGTAATTTTGCTTTCAATTAAAAAATGGACAAACGTGTGGCATCTGGTTTGTCAACTCTTAATTGGAATGATGTTCTCCCAAACAAAACCAGTACATAGAAACAGTAACGTAACATATTTTGGGAAAACACTATAACCGCCGAATAGATTAAAGTAGTTTATTAAAAATTTAAAGTCATATTGAGAATATTCTCAAAGTTCCGGTGTATCCCCAATACATGGATGCCATTTAGATCCCCATAGAGTTGTTTAATATTCAGTGCTCGTGGAGAATAAAAATTTGGTGAGGGGTCAAAAAACGTATTTCCTCAAATCAATTGAACTTATTGTCTGTAAATTTCCCAATGTTTGTGGTTTT